GTATGTGTGGATGTAGAAATGATCGACTTCTAAACAATTCTATAATATGTTGTAGATCGACGGCTGAGTGGAAGATCGACCTATCTCGGCAGCCGGTTTGAAAACGTCCTATCTCAGAAAATGGCTCAGGAACACCCTACTTCAGAATTTAATTGAAGAACGCCCTATCTCTACTGAAAATATATCGAAAACGTTGAAATAGGGCGTTTTTAAGGGGGCAGCTGAGATATGACGTTTTTGAACCGTATCCATCGAGATGGATAGATTACATAGCAATTTTTTTTTTGTTTTAAAAATATAAGCGAAAATCAAGCTGTAAAAATTAAAGTGAGTTTTCACCATCAAACTTCGATAACGTATACCATGTGCCCAAATTTTCCAACACTGACAGAGAAACTGCAAAGAGCGACGTAAGTAGAGAGCAGAGCAGAGTGCCGCGTGTTTTAGTTAAAGAAGAGCTTATTGTGCGTGGGGCAGTACAGCGCGAAAAGGAGGAGATAGCGAATGCTGAAGCACTGCAGTGAAAGTAAAATGCTTGGCATGAATGCCTTATTAAATTGATGATGATGAGCGTGACGATGATGATGACGATGACTACCAAGTATTAGAGGATGATGATAACGTCGAAGGAAGAAAGCTATAAATTACGCTTCCGACGCAAATTCAGTCAGTGCACATGAATGCCTGCCATGCCTGCCATGCCTGCAACTGGAAGAATGCAACTAATGACCAAAACTATGTTTGCTGCTCATATTCAAGTTGCTGATGATGATGATAATGTTCACATTGATATGCATGATTATGATGGTTGCAATTTCTTATTAGAAAACTGTTAATGACTATTTTGCCTTTAGGAGAAACTAAGGCGATTTTGGCAAGAATGATGACAGCCATTAGAGCGTAGATATGTAGGTACGTACGCCAATGTTGCCTCTCATAATGGAAATGCTGGCGCTGCACTTCGGGAACTAACTATGCATTTGGTTTGTTGATTTATTTATTATTTTTTTATTTTTATTTTTTTTTGTCTTGTTGTTGCTTTTGTTTACTTTCCTCCAATATTTGCCTTTATTTGAGTTCGTGACATTGCCGGAAATGGAAATTGTTATAATCAGTAGTAGTAGTAGTAGTAACGACGTTGTTGTTGCTGTTGCTGTTGCACTTGCTGTTATGGCTGCAACTCGAAAAGAAAACAACAACTACTTACGACCAAAAAAACAAACACAATATAAGCACACCAAAGTCCTAACTAACAACAACATTAATTGGACAAAATTTTCAACGACAGCTACAAAAACATTAACAACAGCTCGCTGGCAGCTATGCAGTCGTCATCGCCGTTGACAGCCTAACAGTAGATTACACGAAAACTAGGCGCTCCTATGCCATAGCCCACAGTTGAATTGCCTGCTTATGTGTTCGTGTGTATGAGTGCAGTGTTTAACAACTCTCTGAGTTGGCAATAGCAGGAAGTAATTTGAATTAAGCGCCATTTATACTTGCTACTCTAAGCAATTTTCAAATTTCAAAAAGTTTGACTATGAAAAGTAATTTTTGGCCAAGCGGATATGCAATTGAAATGAAAACGAAGGCAAGAAGTTGAAAACTTAGGTACTACTAAATATTAATGGGAAAATGGGCGGCTAGCGAGTGTGTGGCGTGTAGTACCTACGAAAGTTGGCAGAAGCAAAATGTAAACTGGCCTAATGCGCGTCTTTAAGTCGAAAATGTTCTGGAAGAGTGTAAGGTAAACCAACTGAGTAAACTTGTTTCAAAGTGACGTAATGCAATTTGCTGATGTTGCGTGGACGTAGAGTAAAAAAAAAATTACGTGAAGTAGCCTGGAAATTGCGGTAAAGAGTGCTAAATGTTCTGGGAATAGTGTAGGAAGACTGGCAATTGTACATAACTATGTATGTGTATATAAATGAGTTCTAAAAAGGCATTTGGGCTCGATCTGTTTTTATTATTTTTTATTCTTATTATTTTTACTGTGGAAATATGAGCGATTCTTCAAAAAGAGGGTGCTGTATAGCAGTGACCATACCAATTATGCGTTAAATAAAAATTAGAAGGCAATTTTAGTAAAAATCCTATTCGCGATTTTTAGTAAGAATTTTTATAATATAATAATAATTAAAATTTCGTGCTAAAATCTTGTGTTATTTTGGTATAAAAAGACTTCTCTTTTTTTCTAAATGTTGTTAGCTAATTTAAAACTTTAAAGGCGTTTCCTAAAAAATATGGTTTTCTGAGTTGCGACCTTTTAGAAAGGCTGCGAGAAAATTCTTAAGGGTTCCAAAAAAATTCCGAAAAATCTTCGAACGATCGTGAAACAATCCAGAGTTGTCCGTTATGTCTAAAAAGCATACCCCAAGAATCCCGAAAAAATGCCGAAATTATTCCAAATAATCCCAAAATATCACGAAATGTCCCGAAAGAGCCTAAAACATACGCAATAAAAACGAAGGTCGCCGAAAAGTCTCAAAAAATATCGGCATATGTGAAATGAAAATCGAGAAGCCCCGAAACGTGCGCAATTAAAACGAAGATAAACATAAAATCTTGCAAATCCTTCTAACGCTCCTTCTTATGTTTGCGACAAGATCTGTGATGGCTCGAAATGTCTCAAAAACATGCCGAGGGTACATCTAAGAATTTCGAAAAATTTCGAAATCTCTCAAATTTTATCATAAAATGTATTCAATAAAAAGTGTAAAATTGTGAAAATCAAAGAAGTGTCTTCGCCAGAAAATCCTAAATAATTATTCCCCAAAAACATTTTCTTTTCTATAGAACTAAAACACACACAAAAGTCCTGAAATATCGGTGAATTGTTTCAAAAAAGTCTTGAAATTAACAAAATTAAGAAAACCGCCATGCCCCGAAAATATTCCACAATTTAAGCGGAAAATCTTCGAATGAACGCGAAAAAAATAACCGATAGTGTGAAATATTCCAAGAACCACTAGGGATAAAAAAAAATAAAAAATACATACATACAAGATCCGAAATCACTCCGAAACCTCGGAAAATATATAGAAAAGTCCAAAAACTTTTAGTAAATAAAAAGCGAAGAACACGGAGGGAATTGGGACAATATATTTTGGTGGTAGCCAATAAAAAATACCAAATTTTATGATTCCTTAGGCGAACGAAAACTTTTTTTCGTGAGTCATGCTAATGACTAATGAAACATACATACATACATGGTATCCCAATAAACATTGCGCTTGATTAGCAATTCGAAAATGATTGGAAAATAATATATTTTTTCGAGTCTCACCTTCGATAATGAATGAAGAATAGGTTAGTATTCGATTCGAGAACTAGGCCATTCTCCAGCAACACGGAACCTTCGTTATCCCATGTATTTTTCCTTAGTTATGAATTCGTAATCTAGCACATTATCGAATTGAAATTTCAATGAGAGGGAGTGATTTTCTTACATTTCCCTTCGAGGNCGACAATGAGCTGGATTTCACTTTCTCTCTTGTTACTATGGTTTTTTTCGAACCCATCTCGGACGTATTTCCAATATAAATACTATGAACGTTGAAAAACTTAGGTTGGTTATGAATTCGTTATTAGTTTGATATGCATATCGGATATTGGGGTCATTTTCGTAAGTTCGCCACAATGTTTATTGGGATCGTACCAATATTACAAATGTGAAAGTTTGTGAGTCATCGAGTGAGTGAGTGCGTGAGTATGTTTGTCGCTCTTTCACGATGAAACTGCTGAACTGATTTCAATGAAGTTTGGCACACACAGATATGTTACAGTCTGGATTAATATATAGGATATTTATTTAAGAGAGGGACCTCCTTTTTGAAAAGTTTAAGTCAGTTAATAAATAAGTTAAATAAAATATTTATAAGTTAAGTAATATATTACATCAACCCCAAAAGGATTTATTTTGAAAATATTTTTTTAAGGGATTACCACCTCTTAAAAATGTTAAAATCCCTATATAAATAATTTAACAACAATGTTGGTGTTCAAATAAATGGGTTTAAAAACGATTTTTCAGGCAAAATTGAGCAGCGAGTTTTGGTGCCGAACAAACGAGTTTAAAAAGGGTTTTAGAACGGAAACATTTTCAGTGGGATTGCTGCCTATTTAAAAAATATTTAATCAATTTTGTTGTAAGTTAAATAAGTATTACAATAGGGGTCGAAAACATAAGCTCTGGATAATTTTGGTATGACTGAAATCAGCCTAAAAAGTTTTTTCGATCCTCATTTTGTTTCTTATAGCAAAACGGATTCACGGCTGCATGTAAGAGGGTTGCCACCTGTTAATAAAGTCAACTTGAATTTAAATTAAGGGATTTAGGTAATTGAAATTTTAGATCACAACATGGTGGAGGATAAAAAATCTCGTTGAGGTCTCTAGTTTTTGGCTGAGTTTAAGTACGTAATGCTTTATTAAACAAAAAGCAAAAATTCACACATCCAGTGAAGCGGGTGTTGGAAAACTAGTCTATTTATAAGAAGATGGTTTACGCCAGCTCAAGATTTCTAGTACTGTTTTTATACAAATGTACACTTAATCCATGCCTCTTATGTTGGCTGCGTGCCTACATGCATATCGAGGCCTAACCGCCAAAATAACGTAAGCGACATTTTTTCAAAATTTTCTTTTTGATGCAGAAATATTCCTAGAGCATCTAGATACATTTCCGCATCAAAAATAAAATTTTGAAAAAAATGTAGCTTACGTTATTTTGGCAGTTAGGGCTCGATATGTATTTTTTAAATACATATATACAGATGCATATACTAGTATAGTTGATATAGTATCCAAACTTTTCTTAACCACCAAGGAATTAGTATTTTTTTTTTTGGTTTTGTAAATAGATTAAACTTTCTGCATAATGAAAGGACAACTTTAATAGTCGCCATCAACATTCATTAGATAATCACATTTTCTTATTTTTTGTTCTACTTGCAGCCCACGAAAGAAATCAGCAGCAGGTGAAGGCTTAAAGCATAAAACCTAAATGGTTAAAACAACAAGGGAGACATTAAAGCTAACAAATTACTTAGTTGAGAAGACGAATTAAGCAGGGAATATAAAGAAAAATGAGCGACGGAAAAGCTGAATGAAGTACTTCAAATGAGGGAGAAAGTTAATACTTGTAGAAAATTAAAGGGGGAAATGTGTATATAAAAGTGTGCTCTGAAGTGATCCACAAAATGAAAAATTGAAGGAAAAAAGGAAGACAAAATTAAATGGAAAAATTAGAAAGAAAAATTTGATGAGGAAAAAGAAATTAAAATGACAACGTATAATAAGAAACACGAAATTCTTAAGGATAAAGGAAATAAAAAGTAACAAAAAAGTTAATTCCAAAAATGAGAAAGTGTTGGAAAACATCTTAAAAAAGGAGTGCAATAAAAATTAAAAATTTAAGAGACATTTGAGCTAAAAATTTAGCAGAAACAAAGAAAAGTAATACAAATTTTTAAAAGTTGCCAATAATTGTCGATGCATGTATGCATGTGTGGGTGCATATGTATTGCTGTTGATAGCATGAAATGTGAAAATCAAGTCGCCAGTGCAAGCCAGCGTGCAAGCCAGTGTGCAAGCAAGATAAGCACGCCATTATTGAATGACTAACTGGCGAATAGGTACTACCAAACAATAATACACTGAACAATACACAGGGGTCCCCGGGGGGCGTATACGTAACCTCAACAAAGAGCAAATAAGTAAATGGAATGAATGAATGAATGAATTACTGTGCAACGAAGCGAAGTCAAGTGCATGTAATCATGTAAAGAATAGAAAAGTAGCAAAAGGAAAAAGAACAAAAAGAACAGGCGAAAGAGCTAAAGAAAAGTGCAACAAAAATTTAGTACTCGTACAATAAAATTAGTGTTACAGCAAATTAGTGCTAGAAAAAAAAGGGGAAAAAAGTGGAGTGAAATAAAAATATTGGATGAAAAAAAAATGTAAAAGAACTAAGCAAGTAAAATAAATGAAAGGAAATTAATGAACTCGCCGGCAAGTTAGAATGAAATTAATGCGGCGAATAGCGCGAGTTTGGAAAGGGTGAGAGAGAGGGGGGTAAAAAGTGGTGCTCGGGAAAAACTTGTTATAAGTACATACACGCGGCGGAGCTGTGCCGGAGGAGTACGAACAATTGCATTAAGTTTAGAGCTGAGAAGTAGCGCAGCGGAGTGAAGTGAGTGGGCGATAGTGAAGTGAATTAGAAGAGCTAGCGTGCTGGGCGTGGTGCCGACGACATAAGTATTGCTAAAGGTACAATTAGCAGCTGCAAATAAAATGGCAATACTGGCAGCGCTTTTCATCGTCCTTTGAACAACAACAACAGCTATGGCAGATATAAGTGTTGCTGGTTAAAATAAATAAATAGAAGATGAAAACAAACTAAATTAAAAATTACACAGACTGTACCCCGAAGTACGATTACTTTCTAATTACAGCTTCTTAGATGTGGCTGCAGGCGACTTAGTTTGCTGTGGAGGCGCCGAGGCAGATTGCATGTTGCAAGAATTTTATTAAAGCCAAACACGAACAGTATGTGCGAGAAAAGTGAACAATTTCACTGCACCAGCACTGACAGTAAACACAACAACAGCAGCAGCAGCTGCAGCAGCAGCAATAAAAACAAGCTGCTTACACCTGCTTGCAGCATACTTTTAGGCGCTAAAGCTTTAGTACCAACTTCGTCTAGTATTGGCGCAATGTTAGCGCGGCGGCAATTGAGGCGCTGGCTAGCATGTCGCCGTCGTAGGAAGCGAAGAAAGAGCCACGAGAGGGAGCAGCAAAACAAGTGCAACAACAAAAACAAAAACAGAAGAGGCAAAACAGCAGCCAGTAGTAGTAGAGGTGGCATAGAAAAACAAAGTAGAGGCATACGTGTAATCAACAGCAAACGTAACGAGAACAGTGCCAGCCGGGCAATGGCATTAACAGCAAGATTGTTGCTTGCTGCGAATTACAAGCAGAGCGGCTTGTTGCTAACGCGAAACAGCAATTGCCGGGCAACTGAAAAAATGGCAGCGGTGGTAGAGATGAAAGAATGCATTTTACCGCAGCCATTGATGGGTGTGTGTACTACAACAATAAAGACAAAAACAACAACTGCATCACTAACAAGACCGCTGTCAAAGTTGGTAAAAAGCAAGCGGCTCTCAAGCAGACGAAGACCGGGAGCAGTGGTGGAGGCAGACAAAGTGATGCACCAGGAAAAGCAGCAACAGCAGCAAAAAGCGGCATACTCACAAGCAACTGCTACTGTGGCGAATGATTTGCCTTCCACTTACCCAGAAGAAGAAGAAGAACAACAACAGAAACCAAATTTCCGGCAATTTCCCGCTGACAACCCACTCCAAGCGCGCCTGCAAGCAGAGGCAAATGAGAGGCAAACATCATTTTTGGGCATGCAATATAGTAGCAAGCATGAAACACATGAGCTCCAACAACATCAGCAACAACACTGCCTGCCAGCGCTAGCAGCAGCAACGTCGGCTGCTGGAGAACAGCCAGTAGCTTCAAAAGAATGCGTGCAACAACGAAGTTGGCGAAATTTAATTGCATGTGTTGTACGTGTACCCCATGCGGAAACAAGTGAAACAGCAACAACAACAACTGTGATGTTAAACAGTGCTGTGCACCCAGCAACAGCAACAGCAACAGCAACAGCAACAGCAACAGAAAAAGCAACAACAGCAACTGAAGCAGCAACGCAAATCAATTCAAAGCCCGCATGTATCGCTTCTGTCGAAAGCTACAGCGCGCAGGCAAAAGCACCCACAGCAAAGGCAACAACAAATTGGCCAACAACAACAACAACAAAATATGCGACAGCAACATTAACTAGCATGCCATCACAGCTCGAACATGTGCCGTTTGTTGTTGCGACGCGTAAATCCAAATGTCGCAGAACATTCGCGTTGACAAGCGCATTAACAACGTCGACGATGACGACGATGACTACGGCTATGGCAAAAAAACCAACAGTGATAAAGGCTACAAAAACAACAACGAGAATGAGTAAAACAAAAGCGCCATTAGCCCGCAACAGAACACTGGCAGCATTTTTTGGCGATATTTTGACACTGCTTGTTGGCTCAGTGGCGCTACATGCTACCGGTAAGTCCACCGATTTATGTACATAACGATAAACTGACGTATTTGCGTTTTTTTTAAGATTAATTTTATTTGTGTGCATAGCACTAATTTGATAATGTTTAAATTAATGAAAAACTATTCGATATTTAAAAACATTAAAAACCTACTTTTTAATTTTTAATTATTCAAAAATTCAAATAATCCACTTACAAAATGGTTTATTTTTTAACTACGAAAATATTTTTTTTAATTTTAATTTTTTAAAAACTTAATATTGCAGTAAAATTTAAATTTAAAAACAAAATTTAACAAAGTAGAGATTTTTTTCAAATGAAGGCTAAAAATATAAAAAAAAAGTTTAGGAAATCAAAGTTTTGAGAGGCTAAGCTTACCGAAAAATTCTTAAATAATTATCTTCCAAAAAAATTTTAGTGTTATTTTTGTTTGAAATTTAAAGAGCAAAAAAAAATTTTTTTGTTAGATGAAGAAAAAATAAAAACATTTTTTATTTAATGTTTGATCGAAAATGTTATTTAGAAAAAAAATACTTAAATTATTTCGGCAAGGAAACTTAAAAGACCAAAAAATTGTAGGTAATTTTTAATGATTTTGACTATTTTTAATATTGTTGGCATTCGTTTGAAAAAACCTCTCCTGCTGGCTGGATGCTCAATGCCTGCGTCAAATGAAATGCGTTCATGAAATAGATAAAAATTCTAGATTGTAAAGAAACAAACTCTGCATAACTGTAGTGGAAAGTACTACGCCGCGATTTATGTAATCGATTTGTAAACTAAACAATTTTACGTTTTTTTTTTTGTATGAGATATGAGCAAGAAATTATGTAGCTCATACGCCATGCACGAATATACGAGCATTTGATCGCAGCACTTTCCACTTAAATTATTTATGCAATTTCCAACACAATTTCTTCCTCTTCAATCTAGTATTAATAATAATTTTGGATTAATGCATTTCATAGTTCTTGGCATTCGAAAAAATTTACTAGTTTTTTAACAATTTGAAATTCGGAAAAAAATAGATCTGATTTTCATTGAAAAAAAAAAAAAATCATGGAAGCCTCCTCCAATTGGTACTATAACATAAAAAATTATGAAAAATTCGGAAATGCAAAAGCAAAATGATGTCCGAATTGAGCTGGAATGCCCCAAAAATGTACGTATACGTAAGTACATAAGTATTTGGGGTGCTCAAACAGTTCTTAAAAAAACTACATGGAGTTGGCAAGCTTTTTTAGTGCTCACGGAAATACAAATTAAAATTGTGGCCAAGGATTTATAGGCTTTGCTGAAAAGTAGGCATATCCGAATAGGACTAACTTTTATTCGCTTTTATATGAAACTAGCCTGTACCCGCGGGTTTCACCGCACGTATATGTATATTAAACATTTATACAAAATAATTTAAAATGTTACATACATTATATTTCTTCTCTCAATGTACTATAGCTGTGTAATATTCTTAAGCGAGGTACGGTATTGAGAGCATTTAAAATTATCAAACTATATAATCTTGTTTGCACGATGGATTTGTTTTAAGCTTAAACTGGTTCAAGAGACCCGCTGCGCCAACGTGTATATTTCTTGGAGTTGCTACGGCCGGGTTTTAATATTTCCAACTTTACTTAAGTTAATTAACGTTAAATTCTTTCAGAGTTATGCATCATACGAATTTTGCATCATATCGGAGTTGCCATGTCCCTTTTCCTTTAACTCAAAAAAAAAAAAACAGTGGAGGATTTTCGCTCGGTTTTCCTTTAAATTTTTTAGTAATTTTCTTCAGTGGAAAATTCATAGTTAGATTTTCATTTAAATAAATATCTTGAATATTTAGATTCTGGGTTACAAAATAATAGGCAAAACCCCGGTTTATTAGATACAGTCGGTATTCGAAAAATCAAGTTAAAAAAAAAAACGCGTCAATCATTCTATCTTAAACCAAAACATCGCTAATCAACTAGCAGTGGTAAGAAAGTCAAAAATATCTACATCAACTAACAGCTAAAAAGGCTCAATAAAATTTGCATGTATTTAAATATTTATGTCTAAAATTTTTCCTTACTTCAAAATGCTAGATTTCAATATTTTTTGATGCTCCCCGTTAAATCAATAAACAACGATAGCAAGATCTATGTAATACCGCTATTACCGTTACATATTTTTAGTTTATTATTGTTGTGGTTTTCCGTGTGCACGACACACTTGTTTTGAGGGCATCAATAAAGCCGAAAGTAATTTACGGCACAGTTAGGCGGCTAAGCTTTGCGGTCAACGATTGGTTAGGATTCGCGGCGTGTCGCATTGTAATGTACTTACATATTAACATATGTACATTAGGGTGGCCCTTGAATCTAGGAAGAAAATTTTTACATCAGATTTCCTAAGCCTCAATCAACCCCTACGCCGATGCTACTATTGTCGAAGATATCACATTATAAATTTTCGCCCCGATTGGAGTCGGTTAAGGCGTGTCGCACACGGGGCAAACTACAGATTACCCTATGAAAACGTCTTAACCGACAGCAATCGGAACCAAAAATTATATGTGATATCCTCGACTATGGTAGTACCGATTTTGGGTATTATATGAAAAAAAATAAAAAATTTAAATTTTTTGAGTTTTTATAGAGGAATCTGAACTTTGCCCCTGTACGACACGCCTTAACCGTCTCCGATCGGAACCAAAATTTATATGTGGTATCTGTTAGGGGACGAGACTAAAAAAATCTTTCATATTATTTTTAAGGACCACCCTAGTGTACATATTTAGGTATGTAAATCGAGGTATCGCAGCTAATGCTAATGCACTGCGAAACAGATGCCAAAATTTGTTGAATATGCAAATAGAATTCGCACAAATGTTATGCGAATGCACGCATACATACATACATACCTTCATGCAGAGCAATGCAAAAATGTGTGCCAATGTATGCGAAATGTGTATTTGCAGTTTGCCATTAGCCTTTTAAATGCCAAATTCCGCCAATGTGTGCATAGAATGCGTACACGCCCATATGTAATTTAATCTGTCTAGTTAAATATGTGCATTTAAGCACACTCCCATGCACTTGAATAGGGACAATGTTTTTTCGCTTTTTTTTCTGTTTTTGTTTCTTAAATTTATTTCCATTATTTTTTTCAATTAAAACATAGCTCCCTTTCTTACAAAAACCGTATAAAGCAAAATTTCAAACTTTTTAGAAAATTAAAAAAAAATCTTCAAATTTTCATCAACACTTAAAACTTTTTTCTCAGCATTATTTTTATTTTTTTTGCAGTATGAAGTTTTGTAGCTCATTCAGTTTTAGTATAATAAAGTGCAAGTTTGAAGTAGCTACAAGTTACCGTCGATTTTTTAAAACTTTTTTTACTGACCTCTTCCGCAATTTTTTCCATATAAAAAAATGCGCAGTATAGCGAAAAATAATGGAAAACAAACAGAAGAAAAATTGATCCGGAAAATCAGGAAATAAGCGAAAAAGCATTCAAGCACCTATTCAAGTGCATGGCATTGTATGTATTTATGTATGCACTTTAGGGTGTAGATATCAATCTCAAAAAAAAAAAA